AAAAAAAAAAAAAAAAAAAAAAAAAAAAAAACTATTACTGGGATAAGTAATTACCCATGAAAATGCTGAAATGAGATTACACCGAAAGTAATGCAGTAAATTGTTGATCAGCTGTTTTCCTCTACCTTTATATTCAATGACAATGATCCACATGTCAATGAGTGTGATAGAAACTGGATCAGGATTCTGGAGAAAATAGGGAAATTCCCCATATTACAGTATGATTGCAGAGCTTCGATAGTCTTCACCTCCCAATGCCCAAAGACCTTAACTCTTCTCAATGAACAAAATAGCCCCCCTCTCTCAATCTTTCCTCCTAATTTTAGGCAATATGCCTTCTTATTTTCCAGCCCCCTAATTACAAGTTTACCAAGAACTAACTGAATCTAACAATTAACTAACTCATCCCCTCACTAACATGTACCTAAAAGAGTGCTGCATCATCTTGGTAAAATTCGACCAATCCCCACCAGATCTTAAAATCTCTTCTATGCAATAGAACAGAACCTTCAAGGAACATTTCATAATTTAACTCCTAATAGTGAAACACCCAATCAATTTAAGGATCTAGCACATCACCTCTCTCTCCCTTTCTCTTTTTTCCATAAACATGGAAATATACATAAATTGTTCATACAATCAAAGAATTTTTTTCCCTATCACACTGAATGAGATGCAGATGCCATTACATGGAATCTCCAACACATTGCAAGTGCATCCTTTCCTTGATGGTAACTATAAACAGAGTAATTTATTTTTCCGGGATAGGAGGGGGTTAAAACATTAGAATAGAATTCTCAGTAATGAATTTTTGCAACTCAAGAACAGTGCTAAAATGAAGTAATTATCCCCTAGTATTAGTAACTCACTGAACATACTTATCCAGATGAATGTCTAATTGTTTATATATTGAATACTTTTTACCAATTCATTAAAACAGAACAAATTAGAAATATTGTAGCTTATAAGGCACACTTGATAACGAATAAAAAGGAAAATAAACAATAAAAAGGAGAAGACATCACAGGAGTAAAGCTACAACATCTCTATGCATTTCTGTTAGGAAACCCCCTTAAAAAGATAATGTGCTTTACACCAAATACAAGCAATTGCCTAATCTCACCTAAAATCAACTTCTAAACCAATAAACCTTAAAATTATGCCAAAAGGTAGTAGCTTAGATCACACATTTGCAACATAACATTAGCCTCTTTGCTGCTACAAAAGCCACTAAAGCTAGTCACCAACAATTGGCCCATGAACATAGGGCACATCCATCACTCAACTAAAGGTCCTATTGTCCTAACATTATATTGAATAAAGAAAAAGCAGCAACAACAAAACAAATAAACAAAATTAACCTTAATTCGCAAACTTACAACAGGGAAGGACCAAGTGAAGGAACCACATACCAGAAAATGTATTAGTTGCCAGAAACAAATTGAATCTTTACAAAACAGGGGCTTTCTTGCTGGTTAATGACATTCCCCTGCCTTCAGAGGACCTTGATCTCTGGTGTGTACTATCAACATCTTTACGTGCACCTCGCACTTGTCTTCTTTTAGAAAATTCTAACGAGTTCTTCTCCCCGGTTTTTCCAAATGATCTTTCCCTCCGAGAATTTCTCAAAGGCGACCTTTCCCTCTGAGAATCTCCCAAAGGTGATCTTTCTCTCCGTGAATCTCTTAAAGGCTTGTCAGATTCTAACTTCACTTTCCCAAAATCTCTGCCCCTTTCCCTCTGAGAATCTCTCAAAGGTGATCTTTCCCTATGAGAACCTCTCAAAGGCAATCTTTCCCTCTGAAAATCTCTCAAAGGCGATCTTTCCCTCCGTGAATCTCTCAAAGGTGAACTTTCCCTCCGTGAATCTCTCAAAGGCGATCTTTCCCTCCGTGAATCTCTCAAAGGTGAACTTTCCCTCCGTGAATCTCTCAAAGGCGATCTTTCCCTCCGTGAATCTCTCAAAGGCTTGTCAACATCCAACTTCACTTTCCCAAACTCTCTGCCCCTTCTACTGGAACCAATGTTACCACCACCTCTCCGAGACCTCTTCTCATCAATATCATCATCATCATCACCAACATCCATTTCACTAGCATCCTCATCATCAACCACCTCCTCTTCACTCGCCTCCCCACTCTCACCACCACCCTCTCCCTCTCCTCCCCCTTCAACGCCTTTCGCCTTCGCCTCATCCACGCCACCCTTCCCCTGCACAACCTTCCCCACTTTTCCCTCCTCCCTAACACTGTTCATCAAATGAACATACTGGTTCCTCAAACTCACCACCGGATTATCCTCAACCAGCGAACCCCTCCGGTACCCCTCCCTCAAAACAACCGTATACGTCCCACTCTTACTCGACACATAAAAAATCCCGGGGTGCTGCAAAATCGCCCTCTTAAACCTAGCCCTCAACCCCAACCACTCCCCAAGCTCCAACAAACAATCCTTCTCAACCTTCTTCCCAACAAAAACATGAAGAATCTCATGCAACACACCCACAACCCACTTATCATACTCATCACTAGACCCTCTCAAATGCGACACATTCTCATAAGGAGACACATAGGGGACCTGCTGCCACTCCCTCAACCACTTCTCATACTTCTTATCCATCTCAAAACCATTGGAAAACTGCACAGGAAAAACCACACGCGATAGCAACTCACCCTTTCTTTCACGGTTTCGGTTCTCCAGAACCGAAACCGCGAGGTCGTGGCTCCAGCAGACGAGCTCGAGGAAGCCGGCGGCGGCCCGGAAGCAGTCCGGAAACTCCGGGGCGAGGGTCTCGGCGGAGGCGGGAGGGAGGCCGAGGTCCCAGCGGAGGCGGTCGAGGAGCGGGAGGGGGAGTTTGTGGACTCTGGCGATCATGAGGAGCTTGAGGAGCCTGTCGGCGGCGTGGCGCTTGAAGCCGTCGGAGTGGAGGAGGAGGTGCTCGTCGGCGTGGAGGCGGAGGGCCTCGGCGGTGAGGCGGACGTGGGGGAGGGTGGCGGCGGCGGTGGGGAGGAACTCGTGGAAGACGGAGGGGTATTGGCGGATGAAGTCGATGGGGCGGAAGGGGAGCTGGGGGGAGCGCTTGAGGAGGGAGAGGGGGAGGGACTTGGAGGGTTCGAGGGCGATGAGGGTTTTGAGGGCGTGTAAGGGTTTCAGATTCTTCTCGCGCTCCACGGCGTGGTCCAGGCCGCGGTCGCGGAGGGGTTTCAGGGTGCCGTCGTAGATGCTGCGGCGGTGGGAGTGGGAGTGGGGAAGGGTGCGGAGGAGGAAGAGAGTCGGGAAACGGGGGGCTCTGGGTTGAGGCATTCTTGGTGGGGTGGGAAATGGAAGCTTTGGTTGGGATGGGACTGTGGAAGTGTGAGAGAAGGGAGAAGAGGGCTTTTCAGGGTTTTGGAATTGCGTACAGGGTTTTAGTTTTTATTTATTTTTTAATTATTTTAAATATAAGATTATTAAAGTTTATTTCGTAGAAAATAAAACTTAAGCATAAACAGTGCTAATACAATATCTTATGCCACCTAAAATTTCTATCGTGACCAAGGAAGGGTTTAGAATAAGTTTAGTTTTAGTTTTAATCGGTTTTTGGAATTTTGTCTGGATGTTTATTTAAATTTGATATTAATTTAATCAAGACTCGAAAAATATAAAATAGGACTAGGATGGTTACATGTTTACAAACACTCAATTTTGTCTTTCTATTTCTTTACCAATTCTTCTCATTTTCACTCATTTATCATTCATTGATTTTCTTTTCAAAAGTTCTAAATCAATCAAATAATAATCTTTTTCTTTTAGGTTTCTTGAATATATTGAGTGTAAATATTTATGTTTTAATTATAACAAGCCTTATGAACAAAAGTTATAAAACTTCTGAGTATATTTCTGCTACTAATGAATTCGTTAGGTATATTCAAAATATCAATTAAAATAAACTCAAAATAAACTTAGAATGACTTAGATTAGATGTTTCGACTATGTATTAGATAGTGAAAATCCTCAGAAGACTATGAAGTCCATTTGTGTGATACCTTGAACTTTAGAAATTCATTTGAAGAGACTTTGGTGGTTATGAAAAGCCAGAAAAAGTATTTGATAGAAAAGAATGGCTCAATCTAAGAGGGGGGTGAATTGGATTTAATAACACTTAAAAAAAATTTTCAGAGTTTAAGGATCTTTATTTCACTAAAAAACTTTTCCAATATGAATTTTCAATGAAGTTAATTGAACCTTTAACAAATGGGAATGACTCCTATATGAATTCTTGATTAATCTTTATTGAATTAGCTTATAGAACAACTAATATGCAATGCTCATGTTTCATATTACACCATTTTTAATCATACAAGCATATTAATCAAGATCAGCCTTTTTAACATTCAATTAAAGATAATTCAAGATAAGAGATAGAGATGAGAGAAGAGTGCAAAGTATTTTATCCTGGTTCAGTCACTCCACATGTGACCTACATCCAGTCCTCAATCATAACCTGATCAAGATTTGTTTCATTATCTTAATGAAGAAGTTTTACAAGCATACCACACATGCATACACTCCTACATTCAAGATAGACACTTTCTTGCCCCCAAGAAAGCACTTCTTGTGAAACCCACTACAAGAATTCTTTACCACTTGAGACACCTACTCAAGATTTCTTTACACTTTACACAAAGAATTAAAGGAACGAATTCACGTAGAAGTTGAACAAATCAGATTGTGAGTTCTTGACACATCTTAATCCTTCTCTTCCAAGAATATAGTGATGATAATGATTTATCTCAAAGCATTTCACAAGATATTTCTCTTCTTGGTTTCACAAAGAAAACACCCCAAGAAGGTCACACAGACTTCACAAAATTAGTTTTTCTCTCTTTTGTATTCAGTTCATCTTACTTTTTTTGTTTCAAAGTGTGAAAACTATTTATAAAGTTTTTCAGACCCAGATAATCGATTATTTCTTAGGATAATCGATTATTTTGTTCTTCATGATTTCTGAAAATCACTCAAGAACAGAATAATCAATTATTTTGTAGGATAATCAATTATTCCAGAGGGTACTTCCTGGAATAATCGATTATTTATCAGATAATCGATTATTACAACAAGTTTCCATGAACCTCTTGCTGGAATAATAGATTATTCATAATAATAATCGATTATTTTAGTAAGTTTTCAAAAACTCAATTTCACACTTTTAGAAAACTTTCTAAATCTCTCCAAGTCATTTAGATCATCATCATACTCACTCTTAGTCAATTAAGATTAAGATTTACTCTAGCACAAAGCATACACATGCAAAAATAACTTCAACAAGGCAACACAAAAACATAAGAACATATAAGTTATCCCTATTACATCTTGTATTCTTTCATATCTTCCTTTCTTGACTAGCTTTCCCTTTGTTCTTGGCTTGTATCCTTTGTTATCATCAAAACTTCTCAGATCTTCAAAACTGAGCTTGATTCATCACCCATGAATCTCAACAATCTCCCCCTTTTTGATGATGACAAACTAACATGTTTTGCTAGCTAACCAATATGTTTTGCTCCAGTCAAAACTAATGAGATATGAGCAGTGCCTTGTTAGTATACAAACCTGCAAAACAAATTCAAAGCCTTTCTCCCCCTTTGGACAACATCAAAAACATACAATGACACTTAATAAAGTAATATGTCCAATTTTAGAGAAATAACATTGCAGATTTCATATGTTTATATGCACAAAACAGTTAATCTAGCTTTCATATCAAAGAGTTTGATACCACATATCATATATGAATATCATACACAATTGATTCCACAACATATATTTTGTACATAGTTCCTTTGTATAGGTCTAATTTTGCCTTTGTATTTGTGAGGCACTTTACTTGATTTTAATTAGTGATTGTATATTGATTTTAGGGTGGGTTACTTGGAGAGTTTAACTCCATTTAACCTCCTTTGTTGATATATTCATTTTATATTTTTTCAGTAAAGAAAAAGGGGTGGCATTTAGCAATGCTTGAGGGTGTGACTAGTAATTGGGCCAGAACTGGGCCTAGGCAAAATTTTGCATATTAGACTCATTTTGCTCCTAATTTTTCATAGATTTGATTTAGCTAGGTCTCATCATCATATGATGAACCTAACTAAACCAAATCAAATATTTTTGAAATAAATCATGGAGCATTTTTTAGCCTTGGCCGCCTAGCCCATTCCTTTGTTCTTGGCCGAAATTTCTAGCTTCTCCTACAAGCTTTGAAGCTTGCCTTCCAAGCTTCTAAACCTTAGTAGGTTTGGCTGACCTTACCATGGTTCTTAAGTGAACCATGGTCAAGGTTAGCTTCTCCTACAAGTTTTAGAAACCATGGATGGTTAGCTACACCTTACCATGGTTCCTAGTGAACCATGGTTAAGGTTAACTTACACTACAAGCTACCTCTCCCTATATATTTGTAATCTCTTCACTTGTATTCACTTTTGAACATTTTGAGAAATAGAAATCAGATTTCTTTCTCATTCAAGAGTCTTATAAACCGTAGAGAACTCTCTCTCTAAGGTTTCTATCAAAGTTTCTTCAAACTTTGCCTTGGTTCCTTAAGCTTCATTCACAAGCTAGGAAGTAACCGAACCTACTCCATTGCTTCTCCACCATTGGAGAATCCTCCAATGTGATTCCGCCACCTCAAGGAGTTCAACCTCAAGAGTTTCTTCGGTCCTTGCATGGAGAACTTGGAAGAACAACAATCTTCTCCAAGTAGTTCCATCATATACAAACCTGCAAAACAAATTCAAAGCCTTTCTCCCCCTTTGGACAACATCAAAAACATACAATGACACTTAATAAAGTAATATGTCCAATTTTAGAGAAATAGCATTGCAGATTTCATATGTTTATATGCACAAAACAGATAATCTAGCTTTCATATCAAGGAGTTTGATACCACATATCATATATGAATATCATACACAATTGATTCCACAACATACATCAACCATGTTCTCATAAGCATTATTCCAAATGCACCAGCAAATATTAACAAATATACATCAATTCTAACATAAATGTATACCAATGCTCAAACCAAAATAAGCCAATATCAAAACACAACAAAATTCAAATTGTACTAGATTTAAATTGTTCAATAACAACCAAATTTAAACCAAAGCACAATTGTTCAAAAATTAAAACCATTACAACCAAATTGAAACTTAGAACTAGGAATTTTAAAAACTAAAATTAGAACTAGAAACTTCGAAAAAAATAGAACACCCTCCACACATCACTCTGAGTCATCTTGAATCCCCAACTGAGCCTTAATCCTTGCAATCTCATGATCAAGGTTATCAAACCTATCAAGAATGCCAGAATATTGTGACTCATGCTTCCTTGTCATCTCCATGACAACATCAAGCTTGTTTATCATAATTTGTTCAAACGGAGAAAATGCCTTAGGCTCTAATTGGTGCTCTTGTTCTGGTTCAAGTTCCACTTGAGGTGGTTGGTCCTCATCATGAAATAGAACACAATCTTCATCAGTTACAGGTTCAGGTGTAGATGGTATATCTCCCTTGAATATCCACTTATCTTCTTGCTTCAACATCCCTATGTGATGCAAAAAAGATTTTTCAATCTTGTTTGAAGCATGGAGAATAATCTTTTTCTCCCCTTGAAGATCTACCCCTGAATTCTCAAATACTTTTGACAATAATAAAGCATAAGAAATAGAACACAATCTTCATCAGTTACAGGTTCAGGTGTAGATGGTATATCTCCCTTGAATATCCACTTATCTTCTTGCTTCAACATCCCTATGTGATGCAAAAAAGATTTTTCAATCTTGTTTGAAGCATGGAGAATAATCTTTTTCTCCCCTTGAAGATCTACCCCTGAATTCTCAAATACTTTTGACAATAATAAAGCATAAGAAATTGGACCATCCTCCTTTCTCTTAGCTTTCCAGATACAATCATTCACAACCGAGACCCAGTCAATCTTTTCCTTTTTCTTAATAACATACATTAGCAAAATATCATCTCTAGAAATTTGAGCATGATTATGAAGTCTAGGCTTAAGCATCTAAGCAATGATAAATGAAATTAGCCTAGAGTTTTTCTTCATACCTCTAACAAAAAACTTGTTATAGTTTGTACTCTCCAAATTTCTTTGACAATCCCTAAAGGTTGTCAACTCCTCAAAATCTCCAAAGTTAAAAGGTTGGGGCTTTGTGCTCTCGGTTCCGCTTAACCCAATCGCTTCTTTTAGGGTTGCTCCATCAAGCTTTATGAGCTTCCCCTTCACCATAGATTGCATGATTCCACCATTACTTGAGGCAAAGCACAAGAACAGCCTAATGAGGTCCGGA